ACTGCTCACTACTAAATACCAACTGCTCACCAATCGCTCTCCAAACACTCAACTCTCTACCCACTACCCGAGAGGCACCCCCCCCCCCCCCAGCATCGCGTTCGGCGCAAAGGGGGGGGGGCGGGAGGGTTCCCCCCCCCCCCCCCCCCCCCTTCCAGCGCCAAGGGGAGGGGGGGAAGGGGGGGGCGTCGAAAATCTCACCCCCCCTTTGAAGGGGGGGGATGGGGGTGGGGGGGGTTCTGCGAGCGCGCCCCGCCTTTCGTGTATTCAGGGCCATCCGCTGGCGCGTTTCCAGCCTGTTAAATATAATATCTCTCAGTCGCTCCATATCGCCTGGTGCATTCCAAGAAGATCACCGAGCACCGTGCGAGCAGGAAAACCACCGGGCGCCATGTGAACGCATGCCCATCCGCACCCGCGGATTTCGGGAATCCTGGATGGCACGGCTGCCCCATCAGCGAACACTTCGGCGGGCCATAGGAGGGGGCCCCCTCCCATGAACCCCAGAATCTCACAGGCAGCGCAGCATCGGCGTGGGATCGCGCTCCGGACTCTGAAGAATCCCAACCGATAGCTCGAGAATCCAGGTCCACCTGCTGCTCATTAACCGTGCCATGTTCTAGAATGCTATCTCTAAACTTGGTCAGCTCCTCGGGCATAGGGCGTGACTCCTTCTCATCAAGCTATTGATCGATTCGCACGTGAGCGCGCCAAAATTACCAATGATTCCCTCCTCTTGCCCGCGGCCGCGACATTTATCATCGGGAACTTCCCCGCTCGCCCGCAACCGCGACTTGGTCCAGAGCGAAGCCGACGACAACGCGCGGAAAAGCACCTGCCATCTTCCAATTTTGCACCGTAGCCCCTTCGCCGCCGATACGAGACCTCATGCATCGTACCCGCGACGTCATTCCTGGCTCCGCTTGTTGGTGATGCTCCACACTGCGCGCCATGTGCCACCTTTGGGTACCAGCCCGGAGCAATTCAGGAATCAGCACCAAATCGAGTTGCAGCAACGACCATGCATGCCCTTGATCATCCCGAAGCAACGTTGACGACATCATCATCCAACCCACTCCCGCAAGTGATAAAGTCACCACCGCCGACGGTCTACGCGCAGTGTCCCATGATAGTTGCACCTGTTGTAACTGACACCATGCACGCTCGAGCTGCCCCGAACTAGTCTACTGATCCCAGATCACTTTATGGTATGCAAAGACAGGTGCCATCGTAGCTTCAAGTTCTGGGTCGTACCAAGGGTCAATCTGCGTGGCCAGAAACAAAATAGTTCTAGCTCCTTTCATAGGATACCCTGCCGGGTCAGCAGCACACGCCGTAGACCACGAAACACCACGTCGGTGATCCCACTAAATGCAGCTCCGTGCCCAGCCGATGGTAGCAAGCCTGTCCTCTACAACCTGGTGACCTGCGAACCAACTGTCCTTCTAAAGCTCCTGACCCGCTTGACACGTAGCTTTGGAGCCCTTAACGGGTGTGCCGCAACACGACGCCGAACCACTTGACCACATAGCTCGTGTCCCAAATTGCGCATGAGATTCTGCGATAGTATCTGGCAAAACTGTGACGGTGCTTTGGATGCCGTCACCGCCGCTGATGGTGTAGCCACGAAACCAGACCGACTGGCCTGCACGACGGGGCCGAATTGTTTAGCGTCCACGATGAAACCTTTGAGCGCCTTCCAGAAACCGTGCACCTGTCTGAGATCAGTCTCCACCAAATGTGCTGACACGTCATCAACCAACGCACGAGGCACCACATCGTCCCTACGCATCCGTCGGACAGCCCTGGTAGTAAGTACTATAAGCAACGAAGTAGATTGACTGCATCCAGCTAAAATGCCACGACTGGGAGAAGGTGGGCATCGATCCGAAGCATTTGATGGCCCTAGGCTGTAAATGGTACTGCAACGTCATCCACGTCAACCTCATCGGAAAACGCTCCAACCGACTCTGTTCAAGCAACGTTTCTAGCAAGATCGACTTGTAGGCTTCCCATGCGTCCAGCAGCGCCGTGACGGAATGCTCTCCGAGCAACCAAGCCATCTCCGACTGCAAATTATGATCAAAGGCTGATGCCGTAGAAGAGCGTTCAAACATTGCATGCACTTCTCGATGTGTGCGTGTCATGCTTGCGCAGGGGCCATGCTAGTCTTCTCTGTATCGTTTCAACGTTAACGGATTAGCCCCGAAGGGGATCTTCCTCCTCCTCCTCCTCCTTCTCCTCGTCCTTCTCCTCGTCCTCCTCCTCCTCCTCCTCCTCCTGGTGACGTGGTGCTCTCGGTGCTATGGCTTGGTGTCTGGGAGCCGCTAGAGGTGCCCGCCATGGACGAGGTCGCAAAAGGTTTCGCAGTCGGTCGCCCCCTGTGGCGCCAGCATCGGCGACAGCAGCCGCGGCGGTGAGGCATCGCCTGGCGCAGTCTTGTCCGTTGCCGGAGGCGCTGTCGGAGGCGATCGCAAGTTTTCCATGGATGGGAGCCCTCCCCCAGCCATAGATGGCTCTGAGGAGGGGAGCGCCGTGCCATTTTCGCTCCCGACGGGAAGGATGGTGCAGGAGCCAGCTCTTTCTGTACATGACGTTCAACATGCTGCCGACGAGACGGACGATGTGGTCCTCGCCCGTGCCGAACGGCTCGGGCTCTACGGCATCCTCGAGCGGTTCGTGCTTCGGGGTGATGCTCGCTGCGGAGGCGTTTCACGCACTGGTGGCGTCTGGTGGACCTGTGCATCGCGCTCTTCGCTCTCGCTCTCTCTCTCTCTCTCGCTCTCTCTCTCTCTCTCTCTCTTTCTCTCTCTCTCTCTCTCTCTTTCCAGCGATAGAGTTGGTGCATTTCGGCTTCATAGTCCTCGTCCTGTATGTTAGAACAGCGCCAATAGACGTGTCGGTCGGGCGGGCTGGGCGTTTCGCCTGAACGCCGCGCACATTCGCCTTAAAAGCTTGCAACAACTACAACAAGGAAGGGATGGGAACGTGCTCAAAATGTGGGTCTCGTCCTAGCGCCGCGCACATTCGTCCTAAACGCTTGCAGCAGCTACATGGGGAAGGTATCGATTTCAAAATGGGGATCTCGCCTGAACGCCGCATACATTCGCCTCAAACTTTTGTAACGAGTGAAGGGATGAATGCAAAAAGGGTCAGTTTCAACATGGAGCTCTCACTTTTGCTCCGCCTGCACTCGCCCCAAACACTTGCAACGGCTACAGGGATGGATGGTGAAGACGGTTCGTGTTCAAAATGGAGCTCTCGCCTGAAAACCGCGCACAATCGTGTTACCATCTTGCAGCATTTACAGGGATGGGTGTAAAAGGGTGCGTTTCCAAATGGAGTTCTCATCCTGGCGCCGCGCACATTCGGCTTACAAGCTTGCAACAGCTACTAGGAAGGAGGGCGGTTCTTTTGTTCAACATGGGGCTATCGCGCTAGCGCCGTGCTTTACAGTCTTTCTGCCAAATGCTGAAGTGACAAGGATGGAGGACGGCTCCTTTTCAAAATGGGGCTCTCGCTTACGACTACCTCGGAGCTCATGGCCAGACGTGTAAGCTTGTGCAACAATTACTTACACAAGTGGGGGCGGTCCTGACGCGCCTCGTAGAAAGAAATGACCGTAAATTCTCGAATGCCTGATTGCGCGCCAGAAGTGCGCAAGGCAATTCCTTTTCAAAGCGGAGCTCGCGCTTGAATGGCAGGCATATGGGTTGCTGGTCTTCCAAGGGGGCGCTTCTTGAAGCGAGAAGGAAGGCATGTGGGGATTCATGAGGAAATGACTTGGGACCGAGGAGTGTATTTTCGAAGATTTATGCACTTGTCTTAGATCTACGAACACACACGTATTTCCGAATATTCTACAACATGTTCAAGTATGGGGTAAATCAATTATGTAGTTGATCTCCTACTCGCTGATGCATATTGAGCTCCCTCCGGTCCCGCTCCTACTACAACTTCGAAGCCTCCAGACGCCCTCGGCACTCTTGCCGCCTCCAGAGGCCAGCCCTCTGGGAATTGGTGGCGACCTCTGGAAGGGAGGGGCCAGGGGGAGGTATTAGGGGGGGGAAAGGGAGGGGAAGCGACGATGCTCTGCAGGGGGGGAAGGAGGGGGGGGTGGAAGGGAGGGGGGGGGGGCAGGAGGAAGAGGAGCAAGGGCTCCGCTATAGGAGCCAGCAGGCCACGGCGCAGAGCCGCTCCGGATCGTCGGGATATCACGGGGCGAATCGGACTAGGCCGGCCAGAATCGGCGTCGAACCGGACGTGGCGGGGCCTCCCTTCTGAACACGAGCAGCTCCTCACTCCAGCGTGTCGACTGCACGGGAAGCCCTGCCCTGGTTCCGAGTACCGCCCTTGCTTCTTGGACTGTCCTTCGCGTGACTTGCGTGCGCAGCCTCCTGGAGCTGAGGCCCCCTGGCTGTTCCTGTACTTGCCGTTCCCTGGTCCGCTGGCAGCCTCATGTGAGCCTGGGTGCCTGGCACACGCGCGCAAGAAACCTCATATGCTCTGAGCGCGCTCCGCCGCCCGCGGCTTCCTCTCCCCCCCCCTCCGCGCCCATCCCGCTCCTGCTGTGCTCAATGTGGCCCCCGAACGCATCCCCCGGCTGCCCCGACCGCGTCTTGGTTCCAAGCCGCCGCGACTAACAAAAATGGACGGCCTCCGACCTCTCCCCGTCCGCGCTGTGGGGGGGGGGAGGAGGGGTGGAGGAGGAGGAGGAAGAGGAGGAGGAGGAGGAGGAGGAGGAGGGGAGAAGGAGGAGGAGGAGGAGAGGAGGAGAAGGAGGAGGCATAGGAAGGAGGAGGAGGAAGGAGGAGGAGGAGGAAGGAGGAGGAGGAGGAGGAGGAGGAGGAGAAGGAGGAGGGGAGGAGAAGGTGAAGGAGGAGAAGGAGGAAGGAGGAGGAGGAGGAGGAGAAGGAGGAGGAGGAGGAGGAGGAGGAGAGGAAGTGGGGGGGGGGGGTAGGGAGAGTTCCGCCCGCCCACACGACGCGCGCGGCGCGGTACCTGCTGTCCATGGATGATCAGCGTGGAGCTCGATATCTGCGCCGCGGCGTGGCTCCTCTCCCTCGTCCTCTTCCCGCTCTCCTCTCCTCCTGCTCCTCCTCCTCCTCCGCCTCCTCCTTCTGCTCCTCTTCCTCGTCCTCTTCCTCGACCTCTTCCTCCTCTCACTCCCCCCCCTCCGCCTCCTCCTCCTCTCCTCTCTCCTCTTCATCGTCCTTTTCCTGCTCCTCCCCTCCTCCTCCTCCTCCTCCTCTCCTCCTCGCCCTCCTCCTCGTCCTCTTCCTCGTCCTCTTCCTCGACCTCTTCCTTCCTCCCCTCCCCCTTGTCCTTCTCCTCCTCCTCCTCCTCCTCCTCCTCTTCCTGCTGCTCCTCCTCCTCCTCCTCCTCCTCCTCCTCATCGTCGCCCGCCCTCCTCGCCCATGGCCTGAACCCATGCCTGATTTACTTAAGAGTATCCGCCGGCCCCCCTTGTGGGGCCACCAGGCTGCAGGGCGAAGTTGCTGCTCCCTGCGCCAGTTGCAGCTTCAAGTCTCCGATGTTACAGTCCTGCTTTCTGCTTCCGATTATAAATTGGTCAAGTCCGCGCGAAGGGGGGGAGCCCCAAAGGACCTGGTTATCACGCCCAGATCGCGTTGCCTGAATTCCTGGGGGGGCGTGAGACACGAATATATATATATATATATATATATATATGTGTGTGTGTATATGATATGATACTCGCACCCCAGAGGCCATAGTCCGTAGTAAATTACGCAACGCTTGCGCCCCCGAGGCCGCAAACCTTTGTAAATTACACAAGTTTTGCGTCTCCGAGGCAACCGCAAACCTTTGCAATTTACGCCATTTTCGCATTGCCGAGGCCACGAATGCTCCAAGGCGCCCGAAGATGGTTCCAAGACGGCCCACGAGGGCCCAAAGAGGCCCCAAGATCGCTCCAAGAGTCCTCCCGAGAGAGCCCCAAGAAGCCAAAACCGTAGATTTTACACAGCTTGGTGAAGGATTCTGGCCTTGTCGCATTTTCGGCTTTACGACGCTCCAAGACAGCTCCAGAAGCTCCCAAGACCGCCCCCAAACAGCTCAAGACGCCTCCAAGAGGACCCCAAGACGGCCCAAGAGGGCTCCAAGATGGCCCACGAAGCGCTCGAGACGGCCGACGAGGGCCCCAAGACGGCCCCAAGAGGGGCCCAAGCAGGGGACCACCAACCGAACATTCGTTATTTGTACCCCGAGACGGCCCCAGGAGGCCTCAAGAGGCCGCCAAGAGGGCCAACAGAGGCGCCCAAGACGCGCCCAAGAGGCCTCCAGTGGGCCCAGAAGATACCCCACGAGGCCCCAAGAGGCCCCCAAGAGGCTCCCCACGACACCCCAACCCAGATACGAGATGCCTCAGACCCACAACCCAGGCACGGTGGCGGGATGGGCCGAAGGCCACTAGGATCCGCCGCCCCCTGCTTGCAGGGGTGCACGGCGTGCTGGATGAGCTGTTTGGTTTTGGTTCTTCTTCTAAAAGAACTCCCCAGTGGGCTTCGGCCCGTCCCGCCGGCCACCCGCAAATTGCCGAAAATCCGTCTGTCAATGCCCAAAAACGGCCGTTTCGCTCGGGACATCCTCAAAAAATCGCGAAGAAAATCGCGAAGATGGCCCAAGATGGCCTCCAAGTCCGCCCGAGATGGTCCAAGACGGCCTCCAAAACGGTCCAAGAGAGTCCAAGACGGCCCAATACGGCCCAAGAGGCCCCCCCCAGAGGCCTCCCAGACGGCCCAAGAGGCCTCCAAGAGGTCCTCCAGGAGAGTCCGAAGAGGCCAAAATCATTGATTTTCCCTTGGTTTTTGAAGGATTTTGGCATTTGCGCCTTTTCGGCTCTCCGACGGCTCAAGACGGCCCAAGAAGCCCCCAAGATCGCCCAAGAGGCCCCCAAGAGAGCCCCATGATGGCCCAAGTGGCCTCCAAGATGGCCCCTAGAGGGCCCCAAGAGGGCCCAAGAGGCCTCCAACACGCCCAAGATGGCCTCCCAGACGCCCAAGATGGCCTCCAAGACGGCCCTGGAGCATTCCAAGCGGGCCCCAAGTCGGCCCATAGAGGCCCCCCAAACGGCTTCCGACGGCTTCAGACGTGCCAGGAACCCACCAAGATGGCCGAAGTTGGCTCGAAGCTGGCCCGAGACGGCCCAAAAAGCCCCAAAGATCGCCCAAAGCTTGCCCAAGAGGCCTCCAAGACGGCCAAGATGACCTTCAAGATGCCCACGTGTTCCCCGAAGGCTTTCCAAACCGATTCGGGGAACACGTGGTCCGATAGCTTGGCAGGTCTGGCCTCAACGTTCGGCCACATAGGCGCTTCCAAAAAGGCAGGGGGCGGCGGTGATTCGCCGTAGGCGTCTTCGATCCGCCGCCCCCTTGTCGATTCATCGCAGGGGTGCCTGGCGTGCAAGACGATTTCGGTTTTGGTTTTGGTTCTTTTCCAAAAGAACTCCCCCTGGGGCTCCGGCGCGTCCCGCCGGGGTTCCGGGAAGGACCTCAATCTGGAAGAAAATCCTCCATGACGGCTCAAGATGGCGCCAAGATAGTCACGTTGGCCCAAGATGGCCTCCAAGCTGGTTCAAGATGGCCTCCAAGTCCGCCCAAGATGGTCCAAGACTGCCTCCAAGACGGCCCAAGAGAGTCCAAGATACCTCCAAGTTCGTCCAAGAAGCCTCCAAGACGGCCCAAGATTGCTCCAAGAGGCCTCCAAGAGGTCCTCCAGGAGGGCCCGAAGAGGCCCAAATCATTGATTTTCATGTGTGTGTGTGTGTGTGTTTTAATTTTGGCACTTGCCTCTTCTCGGCATTCCGACGGCTCAAGACGGCCCAAGAGGCCGCCAAGATCGCCCACAAGGCCTCCAAGAGGGCCCAAGAGGCCTCCAAGACGCCCAAGATGGCCTCCAAGACGGCCCCCAGGCGCCCCAAGAGGGCCCCAAGCAGGTTCAGAGAGGCCCCCAAGACGGCTCCCGACGGAGTCAGACGGGCCAGGAACCCACCAAGATGGCCGAAGTTGGCTCGAAGCTGGCCCAAGACGGCCCAAGAGGCCTCCAAGAGGGCTTCCAGGAAGGCCAGAAAAAGGACCAAAAACATTGTTTTTCCAAAGGTTTTTGAAGGATGTTGACATTTGCTTCTTTTCGGCTTTCCGACGGCCCGAGACGGTCCAAGAGGCCTCCAAGATGGCCCAAAGATCGCCCAAGAGGCCTCCTAGATGGCCCCAGAACGGCCCAAGAGACCCCCAAGACGGCCCAGAAGCTCCTAAGACCGCCCCCAAACAGCTCAAGACGCCTCCAAGAGGACCCCAAGACGGCCCAAGAGGGCTCCAAGATGGCCCACGAAGCAGACGGCCGAAGAGGGCCCCAAGACGGCCCCAAGAGGGGCCCAAGCAGGGGACCAACCGAACATTCGTTATTTGTGCCCCGAGAAGGCCCCAGGAGGCCTCAAGAGGCCGCCAAGAGGGCCAACAGAGGCGCCCAAGACGCGCCCAAGAGGCCTCCAGTGGGCCCAGAAGATACCCCACGAGGCCCCAAGAGGCCCCCAAGAGGCTCCCCACGACACCCCAACCCAGATACGAGATGCCTCAGACCCACAACCCAGGCACGGTGGCGGGATGGGCCGAAGGCCACTAGGATCCGCCGCCCCCTGCTTGCAGGGGTGCACGGCGTGCGGGATGTTTCAGGTTTTGGTTTTGGTTCTTTTTCTAAAAGAACTCCCCAGTGGGCTTCGGCCCGTCCCGCCGGCCACCCGTAATTTTCCCAAAATCCGTCTGTCAATGCCTTTGTTGCCCCAACTTGGCCCAAGATGGCCTCCAAGACGGCCAAGATGGCCCAAGATGGCCTCCAAGATGCCTCCCAGACGGCCAAGATGGCCTCCAAGACGGGTAAGATGGCTCCAAGATGCCTCCGAGACGGCCCAAGATGCCCTCCAAGACGGCCAAGATGGCCCCAAGATGCCTCCAAGATGGCCCAAGAGGCCTCCAAGACGTTCTCCAGGAGAGCCCGAAGAGGCCAAAATCATTGGTTTTCCTTAGGTTTTTGAAGGTTTTTTGCGTTTTCTTCTTTTCGGCCTTCCGACGGCCCAAGAGGCCCCCAAGATCGCCCAAGAGGCCTCCAAGAAGGCCCTATGACGGCCCAAGGGCCCCCCAAGACGGCCCCAAGAGCGCCCCAAGACGGCCCAAGAGGCCTCCAAGACGCCCAACATGGCCTCCAAGACGGCCCTGAAGCGCCCCAAGAGGGCCCCAAGACGGCCCAGAGAGGCCCCCAAGACGGCTCCAGACGGCGTCAGACGGACCAGGAACGCCCTAAGACGGCCAAAGAGACCCCCAGGAAGCCCCCAAAGGCCCCCAAGAGGCCCAAGGAGGCCCCCAAGATGCCTCCAAGAGGCCTCGAAGAGGCCCCCAAGAAGCCCCCAACAGACCCCAAGGGTGCCCCAAGAGACTCCTAACAACCCTCATCCTCCTACTCTATTTCTTCCTCTTCCTCTTCCTGTTCATAATCATTCTCTCCCATGTGTTCCCCGAAAGCTTTCCAAACCGACTCGGGGAACTCATGGTCCGATAGCTTGGCCAAGCTCTAGTCCAACTTTCGGCCACATCGGCGTTTCCAAAAAGGCAGGGGGCGGCGGTGATTCGCCGTAGGCGTCTTCGATCCGCCGCCCCCTGTCGATTCATCGCAGGGGTGCCTGGCGTGCAAGACGATTTCGGTTTTGGTTTTGGTTCTTTTCCAACAGAACTCCCCCTGGGGCTCCAGCGCGTCCCGCCGGGGTTCCGGGAAGGATCTCAATCTGAAAGAAAATCCTCCATGACGGCTCAAGATGGCGCCAAGATAGTCACGTTGGCCCAAGATGGCCTCCAAGCTGGTTCAAGATGGCCTCCAAGTCCGCCCAAGATGGTCCAAGACTGCCTCCAAGACGGCCCAAGAGAGTCCAAGATACCTCGAAGTTCGTCCAAGAAGCCTCCAAGACGGCCCAAGATTGCTCCAAGAGGCCTCCAAGAGGTCCTCCAGGAGGGCCCGAACAGGCCCAAATCATTGATTTTCCAGTGTGTGTTTTTAATTTTGGCACTTGCCTCTTCTCGGCATTCCGACGGCTCAAGACGGCCCAAGAAGCCGCCAAGATCGCCCACGAGGCCTCCAAGAGGGCCCAAGAGGCCTCCAAGACGCCCAAGATGGCCTCCAAGACGGCCCCCAGGCGCCCCAAGAGGGCCCCAAGCAGGTTCAGAGAGGCCCCCAAGACGGCTACCGACGGAGTCAGACGGGCCAGGAACCCACCAAGATGGCCGAAGTTGGCTCGAAGCTGGCCCAAGACGGCCCAAGAGGCCTCCAAGAGGGCTTCCAGGAAGGCCAGAAAAAGGACCAAAAACATTGATTTTCCAAAGGTTTTTGAAGGATGTTGACATTTGCTTCTTTTCGGCCTTCCGATGGCCCGAGACGGCCCAAGAGGCCTCCAAGATGGCCCAAAGATCGCCCAAGAGGCCTCCTAGATGGCCCCAGAACGGCCCAAGAGACCCCCAAGACGGCCCCAAGAGGCCCCCAAGACGGCCCAGGATGCCTTTAAGACGCCCAAGATGGCCTCCCAGACAGCCCTGGAGCATTCCAAGAGGGCCCCAAGTCGGCCCAGAGAGGCCCCCCAAACGGCCTCCGACGGCGTCAGACGGGCCAGAAGCCCACCAAGACGGCCGAAGATGGCTCTAAGATGGCCCAAGACGGCCCAAGAGGCCTCCAAGAGGGCCTCCAGGAAGGCCCGAAAAGGCCAAAATCATTGATTCCCCTGAGGTTTTTGAAGGATTGTGGCATTTGCTTTTTTTCGACCTTCCGACGGCCCGAGACGGCCCAAATGCCCCCAAAGATCGCCCAAAGATCGCCCAGACGGCCCCAAGAGGCCCCCCGAAGACGGCCCAAGAGGCCTCCAAGACGCTCAAGATGGCCTCCAAGACGGCCCAAGAGCCCTCCAAGACGCCCTCCGAGAAGGCCCGAAAGGGTCAAAATGGCCTCCAGACGGCCAATATAACCTTCAAGATGCCCACGTGCTCCCCGAAGGCTTTCCAAACTGATTCTGGGAACACATGGTCCGATAGCTTGGCAGGTCTGGTCTCAACGTTCGGCCACATAGGCGCTTCCAAAAAGGCAGGGGGCGGCGGTGATTCGCCGTAGGCGTCTTCGATCCGCCGACCCCTGTTGGCTTGCCACAGGGGTGCCTGGCGTGCTAGACCCTTTCGGTTTGGGTTTTGGTTCTTTTCCAAAAGAACTCCCCCTGCGGCTTCGGCCCGTCCCGCCGGCCACCCGAAAAGGACCTCAATCCCCAAATGTTTCGCTCAAGATGGCACAAGATGGCCTCCAAGATGCCTGGAAGACGGCCAAGACGGCCTCCAAGACGGCTAAGATGGCCCCACAATGCCTTCAAGAAGGCCCAAGATGCACCCAAGACGGCCTAAGATAGCCTCAAGACGGCCCAAGACGGCCCAAGAGCCCCCTAAGAGGTCTCCAGGACAGCCCAAGAGGTCTCCAAGAGGTCCTCCAGGAAGGCCCGAAGAGGCCAAAATCAGTGATTGTCCTAAGGTGTTTGACTGATTTTGGCATTTTCGCATGTTAGGCCTCCCCACGGCCCAAGAGGCCCCCAAGATCGCCCCAAGATCGCCCAAGAGGTCTTCAAGATGGCCCCATGACGGCCAAAGAGGGCCCCAAGATGGGCCAAGAGGTTCGTGACGGCCAAGATGCCTCCAAGACGGCAAAGATGGTCCCAAGATGCCTCCAACACGGCCCAAGATGCACCCAAGACGGCCTGAGATGGCCTCCAGATGGCCGAAGACGGCCCAAGAGGCCCCCAAGAGGCCTCCAAGACGGCCCAAGAGGTCCTCCAGGAGGGCCCGAAGAGGCCAAAATCATGTATTATCCAGGTGTTTTAAAGAGTTTGGCATTTTCGCCTTGTAGGCTTTCCGACGGCTCAAGACGGCCCAAGAGGCCCCCAAGATCGCCCACGAGGCATCCAAGATGGCCCCGTCAAGACGGCTAAGATGGCCCCAAGATGGTCTCAAGAAGGTCCAAGACGGCCCAAGAGGCCCCCCAAGAGGCCTCCAAGACGGCCCACAAGGCGTCCAGGAGGTCTTCCAGGAGGGCACGAAGAGGCCAAAATCATTGATGCTCCTAAGGTTTTTGACTGATTTTAGCATGTGCTTCTTCTCGGCATTCCGACTGCTCAAGACGGCGCAAGAGGCCCCAAGATCGCCCAAGAAGCCTCCAAGACGGCCCAAGAGGCCCCCAAGACGGCCCCAAGAGGGCCCCCCAAACGGCCCAAGAGGCCTCCAAGACGCCCAAGATGGCCTCTAAGAACCCCTGATATGCCCCAAGAGGGCCCCAAAACGACCCGGACAGGCCCCCAAGACGGCTTCCGACAGCGTCAGGCAAGTCAAGAACGCCCTAAGACGGCCAAAGAGGCCCCCAAGAAGCCCCCAGAGGCCCCCCAAAACCCTCCAAGAGGCCCCCCAGCAGCGACGGAGAGACCATACAGGACCTCAAAGTCCACGAAAGATCCCTCCAAGACGGACAAGATGGCCTCCAAGGCGGTCCCAAGACGCCTCCAAGACGGCAAACGTGGCCGAAGATGGCCTCCAAGATGTGTCCAAAATGATCAAAATGGCCCCAAGAAGCCCCCAAGTAGCCTCAACATGGCTTCCAAGACAGTCCCAAGATGCCTCCAAGACCGCAAAAATGGCCCAACAGAACCCTAGGCTCCCAAGAAGCCTCCTCCTCCTTTCCCCTTCTTCCTCCCTCTCCTCTCCTTCCTCCTCCCCCACCGTGTTCCCCGAACGCTTTCTAAACCGATTCGGGGAACACATGGTCCGATAACTTGGCAGGCCTCTGGCCACAACGTTCGACCACATAGGCGTTTCCAAAAAGGCAGGGGGCGGCGGTGATTCGCCGTAGGCGTCTTCGATAACGCCCACGTCTCAATCTGCGCAGACGATTCCTATCCGCCCCCGCATGATGCTCCCAGATGCGCCAAGGCAGCTCCGAGACGCACCGACGCGACTATGATAGATTCCCATTCTGATAGAGAGGAGGCTAGCGGCAGGGGGCGAAGCCCTTAAGGATATACATTTCCACTCGGGGCCTCTGCCAGACACCCGGGTCCTTCCATCCTGCCTGTCAACAAGCGACTCCCAATTCGAACAAACAACTGTTGTTGACCCCCCCCCTCCAGAGCCAATTGCATTGTTCAAATGATAGGCCTCCGTGCCTATCAGAGCTCGCACCCTGCCTTTTACAATGGCAAGTCTTGAGGCTCAGACTGGGTTGTTGGCCCCCGGTTTACTACAACAACGGTTCCTGCCTGATACCTCCTCATAACTTACTCAAAATCGCACTCTCGCGCGGGACTTCCTAGTAGCTTACCCGGAAAGCGCGCCCTCGGTCGGGACTTCTCCGCAATCGAATCCAACGCCGCACCCTTGAAACTCAGGAGTCACGCTCTCGCCCTGAACTTCCTTACGACTCAGTTGGGAATCGCGCTTTCGCTACGCTCACGCTCTCGCTACGAACTTCCTCGCGACTTCCTTGCGCGCAAGACTGACGTCGTTTCAGAACCCGTCTGCTCGACTAGGCCGTCTGGGCCCGCTCTCCCGACCGACCCGCCCCTCGGGTTCTGCCCGCCCGACCCGCCCGTCTGCTTCTGCTGCTTGCTTTCTTGCTCCTAGATCCCCCTCCTGCTAATCTCGCTCGTGCTCCATCCTTCCTCCTCCCCCTTGCCCCTTCCCTGCCTCTCTTCCCGCACTCGTCCCCTCCTCCTCCTTCTCCTCCTCCTCCTCGTCCTTCCTCCATCCCTTTTCCTCATAAGTAATTCCTCCCTGTCGCCCCTCTGGCCATCGCTCGGACGTCCATTTCCTGTGTTGTTTTCGGTTTCGTGCGTGGTTTTTCCCCAAATGATCGAGGGTGCTCCTCGATGGTCCTCGCCGAAGGAAAAATGCACACGCCCGAGCGATGCCAAGCCCCCAGCCTTGTCCGCAGGGTGGGCCGGGTGCTTCGCTGGAGACGTCCTCACAACTTATCGTCCGGAGACTTATGGAGGAAATGCAGCAGCTTCAAGGATGAAGGGCGAGAGGCTTTCAACATGTGGCTCTCGTTTCGGCGCCGCGCGTACTCGTCTTAACAAGTTACAGCAAGGTTAAAGATGGAGGGCGGTGCCTGTTCAACATGTGGCTCTCCCCCTGGCACCGCGTGCATTCGTCTGAACATGTTGAAGCAGTTTCAAGGATTCGTCAGGTTGAAGTACTGGGAATGGTGTTCAGGCACAACTTAGGATTGTCAGGACGCAACTGTCATGTTGATTCGCGTTGTTGAAGTCCCAGAAATGGTGCTTTAGCGCGATTAAGGCTTCCCGGACGGTGTTTTCCAATGGGGCATTTCTCGCAATGAAGCAAAATTATTGTAGCCACCTGTGAAGAGGGAACTTGGAGGGAGGGCTTTCTGCAACATCGTTAATGCGTCTTGAGTTTGCACTTGTTCTCCACCCTGCCTCCTCCTCCTCCTTCTCCTCCTCCCCCCTGCCTCCTCCTCGTCCCTTCTCCCTCCCCTCTTTCGCCGTCGTCGTCCTCCTCCCGCTCCTTCCTCCTATTTCCTCCATTCTCCTCCTTCTTCCTCCATTCTCCTCCTCCTCCTCCTTCGTCCTCCTCCGCCCGCTCCTCCTCCGTCCTCCTCCTCCACCTCCTCCCGCTCCTTCCTCCTATTTCCTCCATTCTCCTCCTTCTTCCTCCATTCTCCTCCTCCTCCTCCTTCGTCCTCCTTCCTCCTCCGTCCTCCTCCTCCACCATCCTCCTCTCTCCTCCTCCTCCTCCTCCTCTCTCCTCCTCCTCCTCCTCCTCCTCCTCCTCCTCCCTCCTCCTGCTCATCCTCCCCCTCCTCCTCCTCCTCCTCCCCCTCCTCCTCCTCCTCCTCCCCCTCCGCCTCCCTGGGGGGTCGGAACCGGGGCCCCGCCTTCGAGGCCCTCGCACCGCTGTTGAAGCGGTCGCCGACGAAGTCGGCGAGGCGCCCCACCTCCCCGGCGGGGCGCGCGCGGGCTCGCCTCCTCGCGGGCAGCGGGCCCCGGCCACCACGGGGGGCTGCTCGAGCCTCGAACCCCGACACCTCCCCCCTCCCCCCCCTCCCCCCCCCTTCCCCTCCCCCTCCCCCACTCCCCCTTCACAATTACTCAATCTGAATACTACTCTCCCTCTTCCCCGCGTACTGTTTTTTTACACACAGGATTCCCGGGAGTTGGGTTTTCGCCTGCGTTTTTTCAAAATGCTGCTCTCGCTGAGGCGCCGGCCTCGAATCTGCTCCCGAATCGTTCCGAATCGTGCTCCCGCTGCAGCGTGGGCCTCATTTTCGGATCGGTGTTTGGCCTCCGTCGTTCAGGATGGCGTTCTCGCCCCAGCGCG